GAATTGTTTAAAATGTTCTGTGCCCTTGCCCTACTAAATGGTTAAAAGAAAGGAATGTCAATCTTTTCAGAAGTGTGATTTCAGGTTACAGGAAAGGTGAAGTGGGGAGATATTTCTAAGAAGCCCTGAAATAATCAGAAGTGAGCAGTCAGATCTTTTGCCTACATCTGAAACTTATCCTTAACAAAAGACCTGTTCATTCAGCTGTAAGTGGACATTTCAGATATCCTTTTAACTTGAGTTCATATGTGATATAAATTAATCTTCAGAGCACAATGTTTATGTAAGTCATTTGCAGAGGGGAAACAATTTAAGCATCCAGTAACAGGCTAATGATTAAATAAATTGTATTCTACAGTGGAATTCTCAATTATTTTAAAAAATGGTAGAAAAGCAAAAATCTTTAAATTGTGCAAAGAGGTTCATGATATATTGTTACATGGGGGGACTAAAACTAGTATGTACCATTTTATTTCCTTTTGTGAAAAATAAATTGCTTTATCCTTACATGGATATCTTTATATGATTCATTAATGGTAGGTATTTTGCATTTGGAGGGTAACTGGAAATCTTTTTTTTTCTGTACATACTTTGTACATTTTCTACAATTAATAGACTTTAGTTTTGTAATAAGAAAAAAAAATCATTTTTAGTTATGCAACAAGGATGTCATTCATGGCAGTTTGTCTCCTGCATAATTCTGAAGAGCTCCTAATTGCTCTGTCTCTGGAGCACAAGGCCTCTCTTGCACAGGGATTGTAATACAGAGGAAATTAGGAAGCATTTCCTGCTCAGGGACTCATCCTGTGCTAGGGTGATACAGTTAAGGGCCAGTCATACGCGTGTGCTCCCTCAGTTCACAGCAAATAAAACCACCAGAGGCCAAGAGTGGGGGAAATAAGTAGTCAAAGGCCTAGAGGTAATCTCTTTTTTTCTTCTTGTCTTCCTTAAGTAATTAGACATTTTCCTTTGTATGGTCAAGGGATGAGTTGATCCTTGGTGATATTCCTAGATAAACGAGGTTACTGTAAGAAGCAGGCCAAGGAAGGAACAATAAATACATACTCCATGAATGTTTCCTACTGAGATAACTGCTGGTGTACTGCCGTAACTCTTCAGAAAGAACAAAGTGAGCCTTCATGTAATTTCTGGAAATGATTCACAAATATAGAGCTTCTAGCCATAATAAGATTTCCAAGAACATACCTGGAAAAAGAATGATTTTTCACTAAGAGCTCTTTGTCCATGTTTAAGTCACTGCTGAGAAACGTTAAGTGGGGACCCCCAGAGAATAACTGGTACTGTAAATACAGGACGGTCATTGGGTTTCAGAGCTGGGATGCCTTTTGGAGATCTTTCAGCCTAACCCTGGGGAGATGAGGAGTCTTCTCACAGGTTCTGTCTACCACCATATGGATTGTGGTTTCTTCCTATCAGTCTCTTCATATAAATGCAAAAGGAACTACATTCATTTTCCTAGGCTTGAGCTCTGTTCCTGAGTTCTCATAATGGCCTTTGCATTCGTGTCCTAATTGTGGCTATATATACTTCATTACAAGGAAAAGCGCAAGTAGAAAATGCAGTCTGAGCTCTGACTAGATTATGTGGTCAAGGAAACTAAAGGAAACTAAATGTGTTGTTCTCAGTGACATTTGTTCCCTTAAAACTAAGTATAAGAAATGAGTTATTCAGCCATAAAGCTTTGTTAAGTTTATTTTCTGAGAGGATTTCCATGACTAATTAAAAGATGACAAATGGAGACAGAGCAGGAAAGGGCCTATGGGACAGGTTAGGGAGTGTTAATGTATTTAAGTTGTATTAACTCCTAAGTTAGTCCACTTCTGTGGAAGAACTGGTGATACATGACTCAGGTCATTGCAAGGTTCTGCGGAGTCACTTGGGGCCACTGGCCTGCACCACCTCATCGTCCTCCTGCAACTTCTTTCCTTGTAACTCCACTGGGTGTGATGAGCAGTGTCAAAGATCATCTAACATTGTGTTGGACTTCGTCACAGCCCGTTTCCTGGCTGAGTTATTTATGTAACACAATCCCACATGGGAAAGCCCAGCTGTTAAAGTTTTAGAATCAGAAATAAGAACACATTTTTATTAGATCTTTCATCTTGTCTAGCATGTTTTTCTTGGTTTAAATAATGATACACAGCATGCTAGCTCCTCCAACATAACTTATCCCCTTTTGGGAGAATGATTTTTCTGTACTTCTGGGGTTCCAGAAGGGGGCTTATATCAAACTAAATATGAAATCAATGTGTGAGATATTGTAACCACGGGGGAGTTTGAGCTCATACACCTGGGTGGGCCCTGCAGAGGTAGAACAATAGAAGTAGACTAGAGATTGGTTGTAGACGGAGACATAAGGGTTTAGATTAGGAACTTCTGAGATGAAGGAAGGTGGTACTGTTTATAAAAATAGTGAAGCCAGAAGGAGGTTTGGAAGGTAGATGAATGCTGTTTGGCATAATGTAAGTTTGAGCTGCTGCTGGCAGAAAATGCAGGTTGAAGGGAAATCTAGGACGACTTTGTAATGTGTCAACTTGGGCAGGCTGGCCGAGTTCCCTAGAATTGGCTTCCCTGTGAGGGTCTGGTTAGTGTGGACCACAGGAAAGTCATAGTGAGTGAGGTTTGTTGGGCAGAGGTGAAGCAGCAGCAGCATTCTGCAGCTTGTGTATAAAATCGTGCTGCTGCTGATGAACCTTGGTTAGCTTGAGGTGGCTGATGCACCTTCACTAGCTCTTTCCTTGGGGTCCTCCAGCAAGGGTCCTGGGCCAGAGGCAGGACTTTGCTTCCCTTTGGCAGGATGCCCACAGTATCAAGACCAGAACAGATTTTGGTCTATCCTTCCCTTCCTGAAAAGCTACCCTGCGAATCTCAGCTCCCAAGACACAGAGGGCAGCCGCAGACCATTCCAGTTCCCCAGCTGCACAAGGCCAAGTCCTCCGCATGAGTCAGTCGGCATTTTCTGTGGCACAAAGCCCCATCTGTGCGCCTTGGCTCATCTCATCTTTCCAACTCACGCCACTCTGCCTCACCGAGTGCTTATTTTTCATGTTAGTTTGCTATCGATTTCCCCATCAGTTAAGTCTCAGCTCTTCCCTGACTCTGGATCTTAGAACACACTGTGCCTTCTGCTCCTGTCCCTGCTCATCTGTAAATAGGTCTTAGCCTAACCTTCAATGCACGGACGAACTTCTCTGACCAACCCACATAATCATTCTTTAGTTTTGTTTCTTGAGTTCATACTAAAAGTTGTATATGCTCACCTACTGTTTTTGGTTAGTATTCACTCAAATCTAGGTTCCACAAGCTGTATTTGTCTTTTCACAATGAACACGTTGACCTAGCACTGTCTGGCACATGCTAGTTCTCAAACCAACAGATTCACCTAAGAATGGAATGGAAGATATGGATGACTCTACGTGATGAGTCAGAAATGCAATTCATTTTCCATTCTTTGGAGGGGCAAATACTTGTTCTGAAATCTACTCTTTATTTCTGTTCTCCTTGGCAGGTCAAACTAATTGCATAGGGATTCAGATTCTATTCTACCTCGAATTCTATGTCAAATTTGTTATGCATTAACAGATTCAATTAGACTTCTTTGAAGATAGCTGTGATGGAAATGTTGAAAAAGTAGTCAATGAGCACTGTGGGTTTAGAATTGTCACTGTATTTTGGTCTTTGATTCACCTAGAGGTAAAAACAGTGACCTATTAATAGAGCCTGGAACATTTCTAAAAGTAAGTTTTCAGAAAATGTGTCCAACTTTTTACCTTGTATTTGTGTGCTCTACAACTCTTCATTTCACACTGTAAAGATGAAAATGTTATTTTACAAGTCATAGTCATCTCATCATTTTCCAAGAGTTACCAGAGATCATGGTTAGGTAGAACTTTAGTTAAAAAGCAACCAGAGATGAACTACTTCTAAAAAAATGTAAAGGAAAACACCATTTCTTGCTTTTTGAAGCCCTAATAAATACTGTAGAGATATTCTCAGTATTTTCATAATTTCCAAGCTCAAATCTCCTGGTGCTACCCTTGAGTGATCTTGAGGATCACTTTAACATTTGGATGCTAAAGACTCTTTTTATGATCCTGGCCTTCTTGAAATCTCCATGCCTTAAGTATTTCCTTATTTTTTCTTGGAACAGTTTAATATCTTTGCACATTACTTTTTTTAGAATTTAGCCTACAATGAGAAACTGATCAAATTATGCTGAAAGTGGCTGATATATTCCAGGTTTTGGTACTTCGGAAACAAGCCCCAGGTCCTCACACATTTGTTCCTAGGCTATTTCCCTTGCAAAATAAAGTCCAAACAGTGGCGTCCGGATACTACACAGTTCCTATGTGTCCTCATCCTCCATTAAGTGGATGAAACAATTTACCCTTATTTCCAGTATTTATATTTTTCACTTCTTCTCCCCCTGAAAATTGTTTTGGTCAAGGATATTAACATAAACCCTCTGAACTGAAAAGAGTTTGCTTTCTTGAATGTTAAGCTCAATGGTCTAAAATGCAAAGCCAATGTGGGTTCTTTTGACTTGGGCTAGAAATTGGTTTAGTGATTTTTCTAGAAAGTCTATCAGTGGGTAGTTACAGAAGAGCAGCGAGGAAGGTTTATACTATACACTGCAGAACATTTGAATAGCTGAAGGCTCACAGTTGAGAACAAAGTATAAATTGTCAATAATTAACAGTCACTTTCATTGTCAATGAGATTTTGATTACCTCTCAGGGAACTAAAGATTGCAAATCCAAAGCAAACCACTGAGTCAGGTTTTTGGAAGAAAAATGTGATATTCAACAGCTTAAGCAACACCAGCATGCCAAAGTGACTTGACCAGCCATGAGTTAAAATGTACATAAAAGAAACAAAATTTTTCTATTCTTACCTTACAAAAAAGGTAACCATTTCAAATTTTTAACCTGTGAAAACTGACTTTACTCATCTGGCAGTAAGACAAAATTAAGAGGCCCTTGAGAGTTCATTTTGCTTTATTATTCCAGACATAGGAATCAAGAGGAGGATCATTATCTATATACTCTTAAAAAACATCACAGGAAATGTGTTTCCATCTCCTCCTTTTTCTGATATTGGAGTGGGATTTCATAACATTTTGGGATTAATTTGGGGCTAAATGAAACCACTGAATGGTAGTGTATAAATAACAATTATGAAGCTATTTTCCAGAAGCTAGTAGTGACTTCTGATTAGGAATGACCAGGCTGTATGTGTAGTATTCACAATGCTGATTATCAGCCAATTGTGTATTCTGACACTTGTGACTGGACGGTCCCAAAGTGGAGAGTGGTTTCTGACAATCATCCACTCTTGTTGACAGCTTTCTAGGTTCCAGTAACTTCTCAAAGACTGTGAAAAAAGCACAAGTCTTTGCTAACTGAAGACACTTCCTGTGCACCCAGGAAATGCAGTGTGCTCTGACCACCCAGGCTGCTCTGGGTGTGGAGCAGGAGCTGCTCAAGAGCCTGGCTGGGCAGTGCCCCACCTCATGTGCCACCCAGGCCAGACTCGGGCACATGGCACTGTGCCCTGGGTCCAAAATGAGTCAGGCATGGAGAGGCTCAGCCTTGTCTGCACACGACACCCAGGGATTCTGTTTTCTGCCAGAGGAGTTTTGTGTTAGGCAGGATGAAAAACATGCTCTACTTCTAGGCTGAGGTAGGCAGCAGCAGCAATGAGAAAGACGTAAGGCCCTCTAGGCTCTATCCTTGGCCCACCTTTTTGCCTTATACCTTCACTGGCTGCAAGTGACACAAGCTTGGTGCCTGTAACGCTCAACACAGCTGTTTTTGCAGAGTGATCAAGTTCAGCATATCCACTGCTCTTTCCAAAGGAAGTTCACACCCAGACCAAATTGTTACCCTCCTGTATTTTCCCGTAGGATCCTGGGGTTATCTCAGTAACCACTAACACACTGTAGTGTGTACACATAACTTCATCTCTGTCAACTTTGTTATGCCTATAAGGAAGAAACTGTGCCCTTGTCTGTTTTCAGGAATATACCATATGCATTCTATAAATGCTTCTTGAAAGAAATACAAGTATCTTATTTACAAATGCTAAGCTTTTTTACAAAAGGAGGGAGAGTTCGTTTTTGACTCTGCAAACTTGGAAAATTCATTCAATCCTCTATTTTGTCCTTGGGTATAACTGGTCAACTTAAGATGAAAGATATCTATTACAAGTTACTCCTTACTACTATCCCCCAGAGGAAAAACTGTTTTGCTCATGTAAGAGCATCAGGCAGTGCCTGGCACTAGCAAGGCGCTGTCAGCTGTGGGACTCTGACTGGCCACCTGTTAGGAATGGAGAGAAGACGCGGCCCGTCACTGGCACAGATGAAGCCTAGCGGAGCTGAACAGCAGCACAAAACAAATCCCAAGAGGAGGCCAGTGCGAGCATTTGACTGGACGCCATGGACGCGGGTGTTCATCCGCCCTCAAGTCCTGGGGCGAATCCACAGAAGACGCAGAGGCAGACAAGCGCCTGATGCTTAAGTTGATCCCACTCCCTCCCACTGCTGTGAGACGAGTATCTGAATATCTGAATATTCCGCAGACTCTAAACCATCTACTCTGCCATTTGGGTTAAAGCACAGGATTCAGGCGTAACTCTCCAGAAAAAAATTATTGAAGAAAATGGTAACTGCTTGACTTCATAGTCTCCTGTCTTTCCCTCTGTCCCAAAGAGCTTGTGCTTCAAAAGATCAGAGAGTTGGAATTGGAAATAAGCTGCATCTACTCTGTGCAGCATCTGTACACAATACAGTGGACCCTTGACTTAAGAACTCCACTGGTTGGTTCCTGAGTGCTGGCTGTCACTCAAGTTGGTTTTAAGTCAATGCAGCTGAGATCTGGATGTTTACCTGGGTACACACTATAGATAACAAGAGGCAGATCAATCTTCCATTAACCTAATTGACCCAAGTTGTTTGTATGTCATGCCAGTCATAACTTGAGGGTCCATTGTTCAGTGTTTTACGTGTTACCATAAATTTTTGAGATAAATGATGCCTTCCTCTACTTTCTGCCTTTGCTGAAATGACAAATTAAAGAAATGTCTTAGAACAGTTTATCTGGCTTCTCCTCCTGTCAGGTTTGTATTAGCATATGGAAGAGTAGTTGCCAAAGCTTTGGGGATGTCCAGCTGGAAGCAGAGCTGGACAGATGGCCGCCCAGGCAGGTGACTGACTGCATGGAAAGCTGACAAGGACTCCTACTTTTGAGATACTCTGAAAACCCTTGACCTGATGTATAACACCCGAGCAGTGCAATGCAGGAACGATTATCATGCTGTTTCCCTGTCCAGAGTAAAATATATCACTTTTCAATTGCCACAGACATGTCAAAAATGTAAGATAAACACACTGATAGCCGACAACAGCTCTTTTGGGGGGGAAAATGCTTTACTAGATGTTTTCTAGAATCTATTCTAAGTTGTTGAAGAGGTCTGAAAAATTGGTGGCTTCCAATTCTATACTTTCTTTCTACAAAAACCGCTACTGATAGATTACAAATAATTTTTAAAGGATTTTTTTTTTAATCTTTCTTTTTTCCTTTATAAGAACTTTAATAATTGAGAAAAATAATAAGTAGTAAACACTACCCGTAATGTTTAATTTGTAGCTAAGATTTAATTTCCTCTTCACTTTGAAACAGTAACTGAATTTCAGTTAAATCTTACGAAATGTTAATTATAAACTTCTGACAATGCAATGTAAAAGTCCAAGGTCAGGTTCCCAGGATTCCCTGTCTAGATGAGAAGCTGGGGCCTGGCCATGAGAACTGAGGCATGTGCGCCACAGCACGCCCAGCAGCCAAGGTCTCACGGGAGTCCAGTTCACGCTGACCACACAAACCAGTGTCAAGTGCTCTATTAAAAACTAAAAGTTTGTTTTGGGGCAATTAAAGTAAGTGTACTTTGAGGATCTGACATTAGGAAGAACGAAAACCAAACATAAGACTCTTGTTCTGTGATTGTTCTGAGAACGCTGTCTTCCTCAGAGAACGACAGCTGGGCACTCAGCTTCACACTCACAACCTGCATCCAACCTGGCCAGACTTCAAAACTGTGACGCCAGCCGGCTGTCTCAACTCTCCTCTGTGAATCGAACACTTCCCCATTCTACTTCAAGTCTGATATCACTTATCTTCCTCCTTTAAGAAATGCACAAGCTTGCTCTAAATATTTCAATCACCTGTAATAAACTACAGAATTTGCCAAGAGGACAGGTACTCTCGTTAATGATCAAAATGGTGCGGCCAGAGGAAAGCATCACTGAGTATGAATACAATCCTTACCAACACTAAATGAAGCCATTTTTCCTTAATAGAACAACTCGTCCAAAAAAGGTCATTCTATAAAGATTCCAAATCACAATGAAAGGGACTTGAATAATTTACTGATCTTGCTTTTCACTGTGTGACTTAAAGATACCTAACTAAAAATCGGTGTCTGACATGACACAACAACATTTGCAGAATGAAATACTGTAGTGACAGTACTGAGGTTCACTGTTAAAGACTACTGAACTCTTTTCATATTAAATGCCTACATCTTAATTATTTATATAGAACACTGGTCCAATAACAAAAATAGAGAACAGCATCTGGAGATTTATCTCACTCTGTGTTCACAGATAAGAGTTAACCATGCTTTCCATTATTTTCTGCAAGAGAGTCCTGTTCACGCTGAAATCCGCTGGCAGTGGAATTCTGGCATTTCCCAAGCTACTGTATGAAGAGGATGCTGAAGGCCATCACTATACAGCACACTGCAACATAAGGGCTCTTTCGTTCACCTGTGGATGAAAAGATATTTATCCTGACTAAGGAGTGACTGCCAGGGATGATAACGTTACTGTGGGATGGGGAAACACCCAATCAAAGTAAAGACCTTGTCTATGAGGTCCAAACACTAAGAGTGGGGAGTGAAAACAAAGAACCAGACACAATCAAAAACATGTTCAATACACAATGGACTAAACTACACTGACTTCTTCTTTCTGTTCAACTTTTTTTTTATTCATTAAGTATACCGATTTATTCCAAGACCACCTCTACAAGTGCCACTGTGCTAAGCCCAGCAAAGCAGCATGCAGGACAGCGATGCAAGGAAAAGGGTCTCCAACAACTCAAAGCCAAAGAAAGAGCTCATCCTCTTCCCATAAAAAAGAAACTTCTACATGTATAAAATAATCCATCATGCAATACTTAGCCATAATTTTTCAACACTGGTAGCATGTATGACACTTAGAAGGAGAAGAGAGAGGAAGCATTCATGGATGAACAGGCAACATGATCAATAAAACTGCACTTAAAAATGGACACAAAATAAAATGCTTAATGAATACTGTAGGAAAAAATACTTCTGAGTTAACAGTATGAAGTCATCTATACTTTGAGTATATCTTACCCAAAGTACTTGGGCTAAAGTATTTCAGATTTTGGAATATTTACATAGAATTACTGGTTGAGCTTCCTTAATCAGAACATCAAATCCTCCAAAATCTGAAACTTTCTGAGCATCATATCCATGCTCAAAAAGTTTACACTTCTGAACAATTTGGATTTTCAGATTAGGGATGCCCAACCTGCATAATGATTACTCTGGGCTAGACGTGTAGACCTTAAGACAGCCCCTCCTGTAGGAGTCAGTGGTCACATCTGCTTGAGGAGTGCTTGCATTTGATGTGGATCTGAAGGTGGCTTGTGAAACTGTCCTGTGAACAGAGATCTGTGACTGAGCTAACTCAAACTCATCCTAAACTGTTTCTTTAGTAATTACAGGCTGTACTAATTCCTAAGGCATCAGGCATAACATGGAAGGAAGAATTCACATCTAGAAACAATCTTAGGCTGCATCTAGGGTCCTCTGGTAGGGATGGTTTATGATCCCCTCACAAGTGTTCTACTGTGGTGTTTAAAATCTTTCCCAGTAACTAAGATCCTTATTTCCCCTAATGAGTTCAACTAATGACCACTGGAAAATGTCCATCCTGGCCACCTTATTCCCCACAATTCTCAGATGGTTTTCAAGGCTTCCTTACTGAGCTCACAGTGCTGGTGCTATTGGCTTATACCTCTGTGTCCACTCAGGGACAATAGTCAGAGAGAATATCACACCTATAAAAAAGCACACATCTGGTGATTTTCTGAAATTAAAAAAAAAAAAATCTATTGATATTTAATGGTCTGCATTCCAGTTAAAAGAAAACAGAAAATGATAGAAAGTGTTTTCACAATGCCATCACTTCAACTAGAAAAAAACCTTTAAACTTAAAAAGATACTGGGTCATAATTTTAAACAATCTTAATTCTTTGGAGGTAAGGCAGAAGGCTTCACGTGAAAGCCCTCCCTCATTCGTGCATACACTTCAGACAGATTTCAGAGCCACGCCTGTCTCCTCACTAGGGCTGGACACCCTCCCTGTTAAGGACAGTCTTATAGAACACCTGAAGGAAGCAATTAGTACTATCTTAAGTTTTCCATCTGCTAAAAATTAATTTCTGAGGAAGTTCTTCTCCTTCTCATCCTCTGCCTTAGAATGCTGTAATTTACATACGGGTTTCATTTCCCTGTTTTTAACTGTCTTAAGAGAGACTGCCATGTGGTAGAGCTAAACATCTTTGGTTGAACTTGGGTAAAAACATTGTCTCTCATCTGGCCTTCAGTCTGTGAGTGGATGTGAAACAGTTGCTGTAATGTGATGTGTAACATGATAAAATGACCTAGCTACGTCGCTCCCATTAACATCGCATCCTTTCTCTGTGGATATATTGTGTGCCAAGAAAGAAGAGGAGCGTGTGCTTGACAGAGCAGTGTACCAGCAGTAACATTTTCTAAGCTACTTTGCCAAAAAGCTAATGCATTCATACAACTGGTAGAGTGAACACTTTAATGAAACCATTCAACCAAAGACAAAAATGGGAATAAGAAAGCAAGCAAGGGAAAACAAAACAAAACAAAAAAATCCTCCAAACCCAAACATAACATTTATACATAATGAAACAAAAAACCAGGTTATATTATAGGAAATCACTAAGATATTTGCAAACTAAATGTCTTAAACTTTTCTTCAAGTAATAATCATGACCAAAAAAGGCTCACTTAGGTTGGCTACTGAATGGAACTGTATACACTAACTCATTACATAAAATGGGTTTAAAATACCTTAGTATTTCCCTTAACAGTAAGCAACTCAATGATATCATGGAGATGGAAACTCAGCCTCTTGGTTCCAGATCTGCTCATCCACTATTTTCTCCACAGTTTACTTGTGGTATTCTTCACACTAGTGCTCTGTTCCTGGCAGCGTCTGTTCTTTCTTATGGGGTGACCTGCCTCTGCAGTGTGGTTTGAATTCCGTTTCATACTCACCATTAGCTGTCTGCATCAGCTAGCTAGACTGCTCTCTCTCTCTCTCTCATTCTCGTCCCGGTTCTTTCTGAAGTGATTAAGACTTCTGTGATTTCAGCGTTTGCAGCTGTTGTCCACAAGTGAGCGCCAGCTCGGCCCATGCCACAGATCTCTGTAAATTCAGGCCAGGCCTCCTTGACTGCAGACCCTGGAGGACTATGTTGTGAGGCTGCCCTGAGCAACCTGGCATGCTTCGCAACGTCCCTGACCTAAGCCTATGTATGCTCCCAACTCTAGTTCTGACAATCAGAACTTTCTTTAGACTCTCACCAATGCCCTCTGATTGACAACATCTTATCTAGGCTAACCCTGTGCTTTCACTAATTTAAGGGCAATGATAACTTCCTGAAAAATAAAGATTCTCCTGCCTATCTCTGTAAGAGAGAATAAAGCATAACAGACAACACAGAGGAAGGACAATGTAACATTTCTGAAGCACACTGAAATCTCTGGGAGAGAATGTCTACTTTAAGCTGAGATTTGGTTTGTGCTAATATGACAGAAATGAGCCTGTTGACTTTACAGATGGAGAAATGGAGGGAGATTATGGACACTTACCAATTCTGGCACACTTCCAAAATATTCCCAATAGTCTGCAAAGAATGAAAAAGGAAAAAAGTGGCCATTGATTACTGAAAAAGGTAAATCTTTCTGTCAGTAGCATACAGAAAAATAACTGTACACTGTCATTTTAACCTTTAATGCTTTGCTTCAAATTTGAAATATACTTGTTTCATGTTGAACCATGTATGAAGACACAACAGGACATCAACTACTGATAACTGGAATATATGTGGTATCATAGGTCACAAGCAGGTTAGATTAATGTGAGTAGCAAAATTTTTCCTAAGGGTTTACTGTGTTAATTTAGTCAACTCAACTGCTTTTCTACCTTCAAAAGCAGAAAGTTTACAAGCTACCTGGATTAAATGTTGATTTTGAAAACTGATACATGAACAGATTTGGATGAATTTTGGGATCACAGTAAAAATTCCTTACAGTATGTATCTATATATTTAAATAATCTATAATCATGAATTATAATGATAGTACTGTATTTGTGTTACTCAGCAGAAACAGGAAAATATGTGACTATTTTATTAATATAAGTTTTATTTTATTTTATTAATATAAGGAGATTTTATATATATATATATATAGAGAGAGAGAGAGAGAGAGAGAAACTAAGTAGGACTTTACTAAATAGGATATTTAAAAACATTTTCCAGAAAAAACAAGAATGAAGCTATTCCTTTCAATTCTATGAATGATTATAGTTCAAATTAAATATATACAAATAGATATTCATTTATTTGAAATGTATATAAAGCGATAGCTTTGGAAAAAAACCAACTCAGTTATCAATGAGCTGAAATATCTAAAAATATAAAAATATTGTAGATGCTATTTTGCTGGCTTAACAAAAAACTAGAACGGTAAGGGGTATTTCACATGGTTACAAATTCAGATAAATCGACATTCTCTGTTGCTTATATTAGGACTGGCTCAACAAAATCACAGACACTCACAGTTCAAGGAAATTTGTATTAACATCGCCACCCTCCAAGAAATGTTTGGCTAATGAATCATTATACCAGAATAGTTAGGACTAAAGGAAAATATCCATTTAATTAAGATCTTTATATATTCTTCAGTTCAAGTTAAATGGAATGAACAAAAACAAGTAGTACAGACATTCTATTCTGGGAGGCAAAATAATTTTACTATAGGAACAAAAAGGCTATAGGCAAATACATTTCGGAAAGTAATACAAGCTAACATAATGAATGGCCAGACAATACTTAAGTTCAGTCTTTCATCGCTTTAAAAATAGCATCCGCCCTCAAGGAGAGCAGTACACGAGTGATTATAGATGGAGTCTGTCCTGGGCTAATATTCTAGAAATGACAAAGTATCATCAGGAAATTGGCACAGCAGCATATTGAAAGCTTTTAAATGAATCAAAAATCCTAACTTGGCAACTCAGAGACTGACCAGTACCACATTAGCTTTTCTGACATAAAAAGGAAACAGAAGGACAGAGGGACAGAGTCTGTAAAAATTTATACAGAGCACTAATGCGCACATCAAAATAAATTGGTGCTTAACATTTATAAGTAGAACAAAGAGTTTAAAAAAGCTTTCAACAGTTGACTATAATGCATACCTTAAAATGTATAAATAGGCATCCTTTTTATGTAGGAGAAATATACTACCACTCAACCTCTACTGTAAGGTTGGCAGCCCTGAGAACTCCTGTATTAATGTAGCATGTTACGGATGCATTTCTACCCCAAAGCAAGGAGGGGCAGACATGTCCACATGCAACTTGCCTCCTTTTGAAGGACAATTTTTATAATAGCATTGGAAAAGTACAAATAGTCTAGTCTACTATTATGGGATTTTTTTAGTGACATAAATTCTTAAAGATTTTATTATACAGATAATCGCTTCTCAGCCTTTTGGCTAAGATCAAGCGTATTATACAGATAAATTCCAAACAACTGTTCAATGAGAATAAAGTATTGAAGAATAAATGTAACAGGATTCGAGAGGAAAAGGTGGACTACAGAAGACAATGTCTTCAAAGGTGGGGTTTAGCTGTATAACTGATGGACAATTTTTTCACTTTCAGTTGGTTAAACAAAATCCCCGTATGCATTTTTTCAATAGATTAAATTTCCAGTCATTTCTGAAATTTATTTTTTAATTTAGTAAGATATTGTGAATATAAAGTTTTTAGATTTTGAAAAACAGGGAGCAAATCATGTAAAAAAGCCCCTGCCACCTGAATTACAGATAGGATTAAATTCTAATGACTTTTACGGTAATTTAATGTCTATAGAAACTTATTTGGGTGATCAGACATCATGAGTAACATACCCAGTTTTATTTTTGTCCAGCAGGCTGGGTGCCAGGGATCGGATATAAGCACAGGTACATATAAGCAGCAAGATTACAGTCAACAGACTCTGAAAATTGAAAATGGCAGACTAAAAAGAGAAAAAAAAATTAATATCACATGAAAACTTCCTAGATAAAATAATGGCACACAATTCCATATTAAGAATAATGCTTTTACTTCTCCAAAAGGGCAAACAGAATGTCATGTCCATCTACACTTAAAACTTAAAACCAATGTAATGCAGTGCTCTATGGTGGTACTTTTCTCTCCACTCTTTGGGCCAAGGAAAAGAGGACATGCAACAGAAAATATAAATTCAAGAACTTGAGAAATGTCACGAATTCAAAATAGCTGACCAAAGCCAGAGGCAGACGCCCCGGAGTGAGCTCCAGCAGGAGGCCGAACCCTGGACCTGTTTTACATCTGTGGAGACTGGGGAGAAAGATTAAATGGTGACTAAAGTTTCTCTCAAGTCTGAACTTTTCTGGGATAAGTAGGCTTTAAATTTAAAAGATCATGTTCCATGCCCTGACCAATACTAGGCTATTGGACATTGCTGACAGAAAAGCACCTAGTTTCGTTTTTCACTGTTGACTTTTCAAAGTTCTTCCTTCTTTAATAGTCCACCTCCTATTCTAAAAGTTAACACGGAGTCAATAAGAAAGCCTGTTTCCAGTCAAACAAAGGAAAGCACAGCTCCCATCACAAGCCAGTGGAGGCAGGCAGGTGCACCCTCTTCCAAATCAGCTCTACCGTCACCTCTTCCAAAGTCTCCTTGAATCCATCTGGCTCTCCTCTCTTAATTCATACAAACTCTTCCTTTTCCTCTTCCCACAGCAAGCTAACACTACTAACCATCCCTGAAGGGTACACAGTGTAGTATCAACTTTCAATTGCTAAGCACCTGACAATCAGCACAGTCCAAAGAAAAGATCCTTGAATAAGTAAAACAATCTGAAGTGCAGGAATATTACTGTTTACAATAAAGGGTAACATTTCCAGAATATACAGGCAGATAAAATAGGTCAATCTTACATAGTAGTTAGCAATATGCCTACTCAGTAAACTTACAAATACTTCCTAAAAAACCAGAAATAAGGCAAAGAATAAGAATTATAAAAAATTTTAAAAGGCCAAATCATTTCTTGGAAATGAGAGCTCACCCAAAATGCCCCCCAAAGGATCAGAGAGGTTAAGGGAATTGAATAAGGCAGCGGACTGGGTACATAATTGGAACATACATCAGTGTTCATAATTATGCTATCACTCATATGGGGAGAGAGACAAAGGAGAAAGACTACACTTATGATAGGAACCAGAATAAAAACCACGCAACACGGGCATCAAGGAAAAGACTGACAGAACCCTGAAGTGCGCACACATGAGAAGAACACTGGCCATGCCAGGCTCTTCTACTGGAGGGCGGTGTGAATGCAGACATTTAAAGTGAACCCCCGATCATTAGGGGAGAGAATCTTAAGGACTGGCTCTGTCAGAAGTTGTTAAAATATCCTTTTTAACCTTTTACATAGTACTATAATAAATATGTACAAGCTATTGGAAAAATGAAAAAATACCTTCCTTATCAACATTATTTATAGCAAAAGTTTATGTACAACGTTAAATGATGGAAAAAACAGAACAAAAGATTTCACATGCAACAAATTTTTAGCTATGTAAACCTTTATGCAAAGGTGGGTGATTATCTCTAGTTTCTAATCCTCAACTTTTCTGGACTTCTTAAAATTTCTAGGTGTTACTTTTATGGTCTAAGAACAGTAATAAAAATGATCTTTAATTTGTTCATGGATATTGCAATGGTAAAGTTAAACATATCTTGGTTTGTACTTAAATTGGGTTTTAATTTTGGGTCCATGAAAGTAAGTGTTAATTGCTGATCAGTTCTAGATGGAAAACAACAGCATGTCATAATGCTTACCTTTCAAAGGTCATGGAAACAGTGTTGGATATAACTTCATGAAATACGAAGTCAATTTCCTTGTAGGCACCAGGACTAAATGTGTAGTATGTATCGACTGAGGGAATGAGTCTAGATATTGGAATCTAGAAAGGTATTTGGCATGATTTCTCCACTACATGAGTTTACAGCTAAAAACAATTACTGATAGCCACTGACTACTTGTTTTGCACTATTTATGTGCATATGTGAGGCAGGCATTATTATTACCCTTGTGCTGCAGAGGAGACTACTCCCTGTCAGCCCAACCCCACAGCCAGGCACTGTCGTAGGCACAAGTAGCAGCCTGAGCCACAGGGAGAAACTGTTTTCATAAGGACAAGATTCAAGGAGAGAGCAGGAACGGAGTCAAACCTTAAAGGGCAAAATTTAGATGGGAAGAGCCAATAGCAGGCTCCACGAAGAGCGAGAATCACAGGGGAAAACTATCCACAGAAGGGATCTATATGTTCAAGGAATAATGAACAGACTTACTGCTGTATTAAGCAAAAGGTTCCTGTAGTAAATGCTTAGAAAAAAACCTTGCAAAGGGTGTTTATCACGTTCCCAACGGGGCATCCATGGTTTGTCGCCTATTCTCTTTCCTCCCGGAATGCCCAATTCTATATGCTGGCATGGCTCGACACAGAGACTCGGTTCTCTGTGTGCGTGTGCTGGAAGGGTTACAGCTGGAGGAATGCTGAACACATGAAGGCTCACCTTACCCCTCTTTTTACCTTTGTGCATTTGAAATTTTTCAAAATAGGAGATAAAAAGGCACTTAAAAACACATCTATTATTAAAGTGGAGTGTGTACATATACATTTGTGTTTGAAACCATTTACAAATGAAAACCATTTTCAAGTATGAAATAAATGATATACACAACTTTGTTCTGGGGGATTTAAAAGACTATAAACTTTAAACAAATAATCTCAGATGGCAAAGTCTGTTAGATGTACTCAGTCTTTGGTCAGAAACTGTTTCCAAGCTACAGACATTAGCCTGTCACCTACAGCATCCCTCTAATGGTTAGCATCTGTCGTCCACTGACAGGACACTGTAGTCTCAGGGTTCAAGGAAACAGATGATCCTGTGGGGCAAAAACTGACTGAGACTCCTGAAATGAGAATGCTGTAAGAAGGAAAGTATATACAATCACCAAATACAGGGGAAGATGGTAAGAAAGTCTAAAGGAAGTAAAATTCAGTTACTGAGTTCAATTTTTTTCAGATCTTTTATGACATTATGAAAACTTTTCGAAAGTACTGCTTCTGCCTGATTGGTGGTGAACTGACTGATTCTGCCTGCCCCAACTTAAGCATCACCTGCTCTGTGACACCCCTGTCCCCAGAGAGCAGAGCCAGGACCTCAGGTCTACAGACGACACATGGCCACCCTGGGGCTGCATCCCTGAAACTGCACGATAACTGCCTCCCCAGGATTAACGAGACTGAACAATCTCATCCCTATGAACAAAACAGTAGTCATCAAAAAACGGTGAATGAACAAGAAGGAATACTTTAAAAAATGCAAGGGAGTACTTAAGATTCCATATTAACAATGGGTATTAGTTAAAAGACCAATGTAGGTGAGACTGCAAAATAAAATTCTTTTAAATTATTCGAGAAAGTGCTATGCATTTATATTTACTTGTCACAGATATTCTCAAGAATCCAACAGAAGAAACAAATTTCCTGAGGCTCACGTGAAAGGCCTGGGCTGCAGGGTAAACTACAGGCTTCAGGTAATTTCCACTAAGTGTCCACATCATCTGTCACTGCTTGGGATTCAATGTTCTGTCCCAACAAGCAGTGTGCGCTGACTCCTTGTACGTCACACTTCTAAGACATCTCCATGACGGAGCAGGCAAGCTACCTGGTAGGAAATTCTAAGATCTCCAAACAATCCTTAAGTCTAAGTTTTATGTAATTTTCAGCAGTAGTCTAACAGCTAATCATGTTACTTTATGTGCCATAGATTATGACATGAATGTTTTCAGACTACAGACAATCCCAGCCTCCAGTGGTTTGACTTAACACATTCCCATTCCGGAGAAAACACCCTCAGGTCTGGATCTTCCCAAGCTGGCAGATGGTGGATGATACTTTCTTCTGATGCTTGGCAGCGGCACTTCACCGCAGCGCCTGGCTGGCCTCATGATTTTGGGGGTAAACAGCTGATATCCTGCACTGTACTTTGCTGCTATGCTTGATGTTTAGTGGGTCGGGTGTATGGAATACATTTTCAATTAGAGGTGCATTTAGTGAGGACATAACTCCATCCTAAGTGCAGGAGCACCCATATACAAAGCTACATTTATACACATAAGGGGCTTACCCATTAAAGATTCATCCTTCACCTTAAAGGTCTCAGATTTTTATCAATAACCCCAACGGAAAACTCATCATTTTATGCCCATTTATTAAAATACTACCTAAGTTTTGCCAAGAATGGCTCAGTAAGAGTATTGAGATACTCAGACATAAACAGAAGATATAATTAGATATATAAGAATGATTTGTCTTAAATCATATGTCCTATTTCCAATGCATATTAATGCTGAATAGTTAAGTAAACTTCTTAAGGTGGATGGTATGCCTTTTTTCTAGACCTCCCAGGTATCATCATAGGGTGTGCTGACTCTCTTCGGCTTCTAAGAAGTTAACTTGAAACTAGTGTGAACACAACAGAACGTATGCAGAGGGAGACCCTGGTGGCATTACCTGGCATACTTTCAAGTGGGACTTGATTTTATGCTTTGAATAGATTTTTCTCTCGTACTGGCATTCTCTGTTAGTGACAGGGACATGGATAACACCAGACTTGCAGCATTCCCACAGCCAGTCCTTAGCACTCCTACGAATGAAGGCAAGTGCTCTAAGGCTGTCTTCATAGCTCCCTGAAAACTCTGTAAACTTCGTTTGGGTTTCCCTAAGGACACAGCTGCTTATTTTTACAGTTAGTGAGCAAAATAAGTTGACTTTGAAAAGAGAAAGGGAATTTGCTAGGGAAAACAGGTCTTTCTCTACATTTCTTTTCTTTGCAAACTACCCATACAATCAATAATAATAAAGGGGCAGAATTTTTTTTTTTTTTGTACTGGGGATCGAACTCGGGACCTTGTGCTT